GGTCAGTGGAGGGCTTCAGGACATCAAGGACTGGGTTGAGCAGACTTCATGTTCTAACACCTGCATTTCCAGCCCACTAGGAATTGCTTTCGAATTCTGTTGAGTCTGGATGGCATGAAGTTTATCACAATCATCCTTATATTTAACCTCAGCTGGATGGAGGCTCAGCTCTTGTCTCCCTCCTGGAGCTCCTAGTCTAGAATAAGATGAGATGAACTGAGGATCTACCCTACCCCTCCCTCACTGTGCACAGAAATGCGTCTTACTGCTAGTAACCTATTATTGTTTTCCTGAATGTATCAGTGGATAGTGTTAGTGAACCTTAAGTTCCCATTGGCTTTGGAAAGCCTCCTGTCAGGCAAATGTATGGGGGGAAGTGAAAAGAAGCCCAAAAGTCCTGTTGCACAAACTCAAAGGAGATCGGTGGAACTCCACCTGCTGTAGGATCATGGGCAAATGGTGAAAGCGTCCATATTCTCGAACGGATCTAACAATAGTGCCTATCTTAAGGTTGTTTCCAAAATTAATGAGATAAAACACACGTAAAATACTCAGCACTTTACCTTGCATAAGTCAGCTCTCAGGGATAGTAGCTATGATGGTATTGCTTTACTTTTATGGACAAAGTGTCTGAGCACTTTTTTTTTTAAGATTTTATTTATTTATTTGACAGAGAGAGACACAGCGAGAGCAGGAACACAAGCAGGGGGAGTTGGAGAGGGAGAAGCAGGCTTCCCACGGAGCAGGGAGCCCGATGCGGGGCTTGATCCCAGGACCCCAGGATCATGACCTGAGCAGACGCTTAACGACTGAGCCACCCAGGCGGCCCTGTCTGAGCATTTCTAAGAAGGAATCAAACATAAGCACAATCTGGGCCAGTGGCCATCCTCACTGAGCACAGTCTGGGCTATGTGCTGACTAACCAGATACACCCCCATCCCCATCTCCGATTTAAAAAAAGTGCAGATTCCCATGAATAACCACTTGTTCAAATAAAGCCAGGAATGGAGTCATTGTGGTCGGCATTTCTCAACCATCTCAGAGAGAACGGGTCAGACCAAACCTTGCTTTTCCATTCAAGTCCTGAGCTGAGGTCAGTGAACCCAATGGGTGACCAGCCAGCCAGGGTGGGTCCACAGAAGAACATCAGTCTTTGCATCCATTCTTTTCTTCATGGGAAGACCCAACAGCCTGGAAATTCTGACCATAAGGTTAGCCCTGCACTAATAGGAGGGGAGGGAAACGGGAAGGTATACCCTATTTCCTGTCTGAGATCTAAGCAAAGGGCTTTTATTTTAAGATCCTGAAGGTTTAAGAAAGCTTTCTTTGCACCATTCTTGGGTTGGAGGGGTTGGAGGTTGAGTTCTTACTGCCAGGACAGTTGTGCTCGATTGTCTATTGGCAGCCGACCACTGTTGCCCATTTCAGCCACTCTACCCTGTAGTGTGAGGGCTGGAAGCCTAGGTACTAGAATATTCCAGAATCCCTCGCCAGGGTTCTGTGTCAGATTCCACTCATCAGTGGTAGTTGTGCAAGATTTGGAATGTGGACAGTAGGTGGAGGCCATTGTGTTGTTCCTCTGGCAGTAACGAGCAGGCGTGTGGCTTGACAGATGTGAGGCATTTCAGAGGTCCGAGCTTGCCTCTGGGGATCCCTGACCCTGGGGCTGCAGTCAGCTGGATCATTGCTGGTTTCCTTTGTCTGCAGTGATTTCCTGCTTCTGAGACCCAGAAGGAGGTCTCCGAGCCGGCCATGGCTTCCCCCAACTTCTGCTCCTTCAGTCCCTTTCGACTTCTGGGCTGAATCCCTTCCGCTTAAAATATCCAGAAAGGTATTTCTGGTTCCCTGACCAGTAGGAAGTGGCTAGCTTGAGAAGTCTTATTGGCTGGACTGAGAACTCAGGACTTAGTTTTTTGGTTTGTTTGTTTGTTTGTTTGTTTTTCCTGCGTTATTGAGTAGTTCAGGCAATTGAATGATCCTTGAGCCTTATTTCTGCCCCAATGACCCAAAATGGTGCTTCATTTCCAGGAAGTAAAAATAGAAACCAACAGGTCTCTCCATCCAAAGATAGATCCTTAAGCTTTCTGTAAATACCTACTAGGAAACTAATGCTCCATGAATGACTACGATTTGATAATCACCTCATCCGACCCATTACTAATATCCTTTTGGGAAAAAGCTTAATTTAATTTTATGCATAAAGACCATTATAAATGCATTACCAGCTACAGAATTTAAAGAAAAAGTACACCCGTATTTGAAGCATCCCGACAAATCAAGTTGTTTTGATTTTCTAGTTCCTGCTTGTCTTATCCACAGGCACATGTAATTTCATGTATTACGAACTCTTGTGTTAACTATCGTGAAAACACAATTTATGATCTGCGTTTTGCGTGTAACAGTGCGTTAATAAAATTTCTATCTTGTTATACAGACTTCCTAATCGTCACGCTGAATTACTTCATTACCTTTAGTTGAGTGAATTGATCATAATTTACTAACCTTTTCCTCCATGGCTGAATATTTAGGCAGGTTCTAATTATTTTGTTAGTATGCTTACTGCTTCAGTGAACATCTTTTTGCTTCTGCTGATTAATCTTCCCAGGAAAAATTCCCATGAGTAGAATTTCTAGGCCAGGAAGCCTCATTTACACGTCTGGAACGGATTTCCACTCTCATCTCACCTCATCGCCCTAGATTTGATGCTCCATTAGTTACCTGAGTGGGCCAGAAGGAAAATGGGAGGAGTTGGGGAGCCTGGAGTTCTAAAGCCAAGCGGAGACTGGGAAGAGACTCCAGGATCTGGAAAGACACAGACGCAGCGACAAACAGCCCCAGACATTTTACATAATGAATATGTTTATTTCTCACCAAGCGATAGGCAGGGCGAGAGACCTCCGGAGTGTTTCAGGCTATATTCATTCTAAGGCTGCACCTGCCAGGACTGTTGGCACCGTCCTCGTGCAGCCAGCAGATGGAGCAAGAGAGTGAGTGTCACATAGGGGAGTGTTCAGGGGTCGGACCTGTGAGTGGTCTCCCTTCCGCTCACATTCCATTGTGCAAGTCACAAGTCCTCACTTAACTGCAAGGCAGGCTGGGAAGTGTAGTTTTGGTGTATGCCCAGGAGGAAGAGGGGAGTGTGGATACCGGTGTGCGCAAGCAGTCTCTGCTAGAGCCTTTTTCAAACTTCAGCCAAGCAAGCCTGAGAACAGGAAGGGCCGGGCAGCGGAGCTCTGCTGCTTTGCACACACTGTGCATGCAGAGTAATGCAAATAGAATGTGCCGGCCTGGAGGCTGGCAGGGCGGGGCTTTCTTTAATGAATAAACTAATTTTATCCTCATTCTAAAAAAATTTTATTTCATTAAGTCTTTTAATTCCAGAGTAGTTAACATACCCTGTTATATTAGTTTCAGGTACAATACAATGATTTAACAGTTCTATACATTACCCAGTGCTCGTCAAGATAAGTATACTCTTTAATCCCCATCACCTGTTTCACCCATCCCCCCCCCCCACCTCCCCTCTGGTGACCGTCAGTTTGTTCTCTACAGTTAAGAGTCTATTTCTGGGTTTTTTTCCTTTCTCTCTTTTTTTTTCCTATGCTCGTTTGTTTTCTTAGTTTCCACATATTAGTGAAATATGGTATTTGTCTTTCTCTGACTTATTTCACTTAGCATTATACTCTCTAGCTCCATCCATGTTGTTGCAAATGGCAAGATTTCATTCTTTTTTATGGCTGAGTAATATTCCATTATATGTATATATTCCATATATATATGGAATAATGGAGTAATATTCCATATATGTGTGTGTGTGTGTGTGTGTGTGTGTGTATATATATATATATATATACCATATCCTCTTTATCCATTCATCTATCGATGGACATTTAGGTTGCTTCCATATTTTGGCTATTGTAAATAATGCTGTGATAAACATAAGGGTGCATATAATCCTTTTGAATTAGTTTTTGTGTTTTTTGGGTAAATACCCAATAGTGTGATTACTGGATCGTAGGTTAGTTCCATTTTTAACTTTTTTTAAAAAAATGATTTTATTTATTTATTTGACAGAGACACAGCGAGAGAGGGAACACAAGCAGGGGGAGTGACAGGCAGAGGGAGAGGGAGAAGCAGGCTTCCTGTGACGCAGGGAGTCCAATGCGGGGCTCGATCCCAGGACCCTGGGATCATGACCTGAGCCAAAGGCAGACACTTAATGACTGAGCCACCCAGATGCCCCTATTTTTAACTTTTAAAGGAAAATCCATACATACTGTTTCCACAGTGGCTGCACCAGTTTGCATTCCCACCAACAGTGTAAGAGTGTTCCCCTTTCTCCACATCCTCCCCAACACTTGTTGTTTCTTACGATTTTGATTTTAGCCATTCTGACAGGTGTGAGGTGATCTCTCACTGTAGTTTGGATTTGCATTTCCCTGATGCTGAGTGATGTTGAGCATCTTCTCATGTGTCTGTTGGCCATCTGCATGTCTTTGGAGAGATGTCTGTTCATGTCTTCTGCCCATTTTTAAATTGGATTATTTGTTTTTTGGCTATTGAGTTGTAGAAGTTTTTTTTTTTTTTTAATAAGTTTTGGATACTAACCATTTGTCAGATATGTCATTTGCAAATATTCTCTCCCATTCAGTAGGTTGTCTTTTAGTTTTGTTTGTTGTTTCCTTCACTGTGCAGAAGCCTTTTATTTTGATGAAGTCCCAATAGTTTATTTTTGTTTCTGTTTCCCTTGCCTCAGGAGACATATCTAGGAAAATGTTGCTACAGCCCATGTCAGAGAAATTACTGCCTATGTTCTCTTCCAGGGTTTTTATGGTTTCAGGTCTCACCTTTAGGTCTTTAATCCATTTTGAGTTTATGTTTGCGTATGGTGTAAGAAAGTGGTCCAGTTTCATTCTTCTGCATGTAGCTGTCCAGTTTCCCAGCACCATTTATTGAACAGACTTTTCCCCATTGCATATTCTTGCCTTTTGTGTTCACAGATGCTGGCAGTTTTAAGCATGGCTACAGACTCACACAGTTCCTGTGATTTTCTTGCCCCCATAGTCAACACAGGAAGAGGAACAAAGGAGTCACCTTTTCCTCTTTCCTGGATTTCAGGGGAAGCAGACACTGGTAAGATTACCACTAACCTCCTACTCCTTTTCCTTCCCTCTCTACAGCCTGGTTCCTTCAGCCCTTAAATTTCATCAGCTCATTCTGGCTCCAGGTCTTTGGTCCCATGTTTCCACTGTCCTCATCTCAGACCTTCTTTCCTTATTTATTGGATGTTTATTATGTGCTGGTCATTGTGTTAAGAACTTAATAAATGTAATGGGAAGAAAAATATATTGCTGTAGTTTGAGCTTGTCAACCTAGAAAGGTGGCAGAAACCCATTAAGGGGTAAACTCTCTTTTTGTTAGGGACACAACTTAATGGATTTGTTTGGCTATAAATGCAGAAGCTTCGCATAGCAGAATCAAACAGGAAGAGCTTTAGCAACAAGCAAAAACTGGATGGGGATTTTGGAGAGAGGATTGTTCTGTGAAAAGACAAGAGTTTAGGGAGAATTTGGAGCTGTCTTCTGGTGGGTCCGCAAGAAGTTACTGGAGATAAATGTTTCGGTCCTGGCTGTGCTTTAAAAATTACCTGGGGGACTGTGACTTTTAAGACTTTAAAAAATAAAAAACTTGAAATCTAGCATACTTACAGAAAATTATACAAATCATATTTGTGTACAGCCTGATGGATTTTCACAAAGTGAGCACACCTGTGTAATCATCCCTCAGACAAAGAACGTAAATATTACCAGTATCCAGAAGTCACCTTCCTGTCCCCTCCTGGCACAACCCTACTCCTCCAAGATAGACACTATCCCAATCTCTAACACCAGTTTGGTTTTGCCTGCTTTTGAATTTCATAAAAACGGAATAGTAAAGTATGTACACTTTCTTGTTGGACTTCTCTTTTTCAATATTATTTTTGTGAGATTCAGCCACGTTGATAGAAGTAGCATTTGTATTCATGTACGGCATGAATCTAGCAAGAATGTATAGTATGGATATTCCTCAATATTTTCGTCCACATCTGTGTTGTTTCCAATGTTGGTTATTTTTCATATTGCTGTTTGAACACTTTTAAAAAATGCTTAAATTGTGGAAAAATATATATACCATAAAAATTGCCAGTGTAACCATTCTAAGCATATAATTCAGTGGCATTAATTACATTCACTGTCTACTATCTACTTCCAGAACATTCTTTCTTTATAACAACTTTATTGAGATTAATTCACATACCATACAATTAACCTAAAGTGTAAACTTCAGTGGGTTTTTTTGTATATTCACAGACTTGTGAATCATCCCCACAATCAATTTTAGAACATTTTTATCATTCCCCAAAGCAGTCACTCTCCATTTCTGCCCATCAGCCCCTCCCCCCACGCACATATCTGCCCTAGGCAACCACTAACCAACCTACTTTCCTTCTCTATAGATGTATAAATGTTCCCATTCTGGACATTTCGTATAAATAGAATTATATATTGTTAGGTCCTTTGTGACTGGCTTCTTTCACTTGGCAGAACATTCTTAGGCTCATCCACGCTGTAGTGTGCCTCCGTACTTCCTTCCTTTTTGTCGCTGAATCATATTCCATGGTAAGGATATAAACACTGTATTCATTCATCAGTTGGCGGACATTTTACAGAGGTCGATGATTAGATCTTGAAAATCAGTTTGTTCCATAACAATATAGACTTAAAAAAAATAACGCCTCCCCCACCCCATTCATACCCGTCCCCAGGGATCTGCAGAGAGAGGGGGCAGCCTTGGAAGAAGCAGGGCTGGGGCACTTTGAAGACTAGATTTGGAGCCTTGTGGGGAGCTGTGGCTTCTTCAGCGAAAAATGGCCAAACCTTGGTCTGCGTCCAGCATCAGGCACTTGGGTAGAAGTGCAGCCGGTGTATTCCCCTTATCCCTCGCTACTGACATGAGCTTGTTCCATCAACCATGCTATGAAGCCACGGCACAGGGTCTCCATGCAGCCAAGCAAGGATCTTCTTGAATGGCATCCAAGAGAAGGATGTCTGCCTATGACAAAACCTCGCTGACCTCCAGCTTAATGGCCCCATGCAGACACCCCCCCCCCCATGGTACCTGTAGGCCCTTTAAAATAAAAGATGGTTTTCTTAACAGGCTGAAGGCTGGGTGTAGCTTGAAAAAAAACGCCCAAACCCAGCACACATACCTGGGGGAGGTGGGATGGCAGGGGACCACATTCCCATTATATAGATGAGAAAACTGACGTTTAGCATGGTTAAGGGATTAGATCAAAATCACAAGGCTAGAAAGTGATGGAGCTGGCATTTGGATCGGTTGCTTTGAGTACCAACCCTTTGTCTTTAGGCCATCCACCACACCACTTGACGAGTTAGTGCTATAGGGAGAGGAAGGGCCCTATACTCTCAATTTTTCACGTGGCCCAGCGCAGTACTACTTTAAGCTCATCTCCACAGCGCTGTGTGCTCTTTGAGGCTGACCTTTGTGGATTGCATCAAAGGGCTGCTTTGCTTTCTGGCTTCTAGCTGGGTTTGGCCAATGCCAGAAGCCAAAGGGCAGGAGGGGAGTGAGGCTGGGTTACTCATTCCCCTGAGTCTCCTTCTTCCAGGCATGGATCGGCTGTATGTCTGGGCCGCCAGCTACAGCTCGGCTCCAATGTCCCTTTCCTACAGTATTCTCTCTGGGTCTGCAACCTTCTCCCTTCCCTTGTCCCTTCAGCCTACGGTGGCAGTGGTCCCTTCCCCTCTTACTCCAGGGTGCTTCACCATGTTTGTGGTTTCCTTTAACCCTCCTAAATATTCCCTTCCCTAAACTCTCTTTATTAAACCTCTAGGGTGGACAGTAACATCAACTGTTTCCTGGGACCTGAACAATCCAACCCACAGCCTCCGTGCTCACTCAACTTGGCTGAGCCCTGGGATTGGGCCAGATTCAAATCCAGAGGAAGAAAAGAAAGGGAGGGACCAAATTTCCAACCAGGGCATAGAATTTGCTCTGCTGGGAGCAACGCTGTCAAAAAGCCTGACCAGCAACTCAGTGGGTCTCGAGCCCCACCCACCTGGTCCTCGCTGGGCACCCTCCCGCCCTCACACAGCTGCAGCCCCTGCCCGGCCCCTTCTAGCCCTGGCCTAGAGCTGGGGGGGGGTCCCTGCTGTTCTTGCCCAGCAGATGTGGGAAGGGAACAGATGACACAGGAGGACCTAGGGTCTGGGGTTGGAACCTCGGGTGGGTTTTTTTTCCAGAAACTTTTTGCATATACTTTGGTCACAACAGTGTGATATTTTAGATACATTCAATCAAGAATAACATTCAATAGTAAATGAATTTGGGGGTGGCTGGGACCTAACATTGTTTCTAGGGTGACGTGTTTCGAATACATGCCAACCAAGTTCCAAAGACAATAAAATGTCCTCATTTACCAGGTGAAGGCGGAACACATGGGACTGACAACCCTGTAATTTACACGGACATAAAGCAGGATCCTTGAGGTTCCTAAATGACACAGACCTGCGTCTACCCTTCTCTCTCTCCCTCTCTCCCTTCCGAAGAGACCTCCCTGCTGCTCTTTGACAGCCATTTCGGGCCCCCACTGGTTTCCTTCGGGCAGATGATTACCCGCACACTGGTTCTCCTCTGGCAGCAGCTGGAAGCACATTGCCTGTTCTGTCTTCTGTGGTTCTGCTGAATTCCTCCAGCAACACCAGTCCCCGGTATTTAAACACTCACGCCCTGTGAAGTCAGATGTGCCTCGGAAGCGGCCCCAGCCCTGTGATGCAATTCACTAGCAGCGCTTTGATGCTGTGGCCTGCCCATCCAGCGGACCAGGGAGGGGTAGACAGGACTAGAAGGCATGTTTGCCAAGTCCCAAAGCCGCTTTGAGTCAACATTTGAATGACCGTCTTGTCTTTAGTCTATGTTGTGATCAATTTTGTGTTTGAATGTGTCTGAAATGGCTCTCTGAAATGATAATGGGTATCAGTGAATATCTGGATATATCTGCTTAATGAATTGTCAGGTTATAAGAAGTTGGAGGCACTGTGACATAGAGGAAAAACTGTTAGTTTTCGCATTAGACAACCAGGGTTACAATCTAGGGACTTTTTTTAAAAAATATTTTATTTATTTGACAGAGAGAGACACAGCGAGTGAGGGAACACAAGCAGGGGGAGTGGGAGAGGGAGAAGCAGGTCTCCCGCCGAGCAGGGAGCCCGACGTGGGGCTTGATCCCAGGACCCCAAGATCATGACCCGAGCCGAAGGCAGACGCTCAACGACTGAGCCACCCAGGTGCCCCACAATCTAGGAACTTTAACTGGTTGGCTGTGTGTCCTTGGCAAGGTTACTTAACCTCTCTGAGCATGTTTCCTCAAATGTGAAGTAGAAATGACAACACTTTACTAACCTCATGAGGCTATAGGAAGTATTGAATGGGTCAAGCACGTAAAGCGTCTACTCATTGTCTGGCATAGTTGAAGCTGTTTGTCAATGGCAGACAATATAGTCGGGATGTCCTCTAAAACGTAAAATGAATCTGTGGCTATTGGCCACATGGACTATGAAGAACAGCAGAGGGCAGACTTTACAAAGTTATTCGTGAAACGCTGTCTTTCAAATCCTCTTCCAAGACATAAGCCAGAATTCCAGATATGACTTTCTCAAATGCTTTGGCTGAAAGATGCCTCTATCGTTACTTCTAATTTCTTCACAGAAACTGGAGCTTTCTTGTTTTGCAAGGATCTCCAAGGAGAACATTGGGCAATATTTAGCCAACAAGTTTCATCACCAGGACATGTACGCCTGGTCTCCAGATTCTGGTGGAGCAGTTTTGACATGTTACTCGGACCACTTTTTTGCCTGCCACAGATCTAATGATAAATTGAGGAAATAATAGATGCCAACTCTTTTGACCTCATTTCAAATTGCAGCATGTCAAAATAGCGTGAAGTTTGTGACTAGAAGCATTATGGGATACAGAAAGCCCACTCGGCTGCTGACTGGGGATCAGGTTACATTTAGTTCACAGTTAGGATTGCGGTGGGCATGAACTCCATTCCATGACAAGAGAATAAATGG